CACACACACACACACACACACACACACACACACACACACACACACACGGCCTCAGAAGGACAGAGGCAGGAAGCAGCTGGCAACTGATTTGGAGAACAAGAGTCACAAAGTGCTTATAAAGGGTGATGGGGGAAACATGGCAAGGGCTGTAGCGTCCGTTAAGGCCGACGTCACATTTGGGTGACTGAGGGAACAGACAGATAAATATTAATAGCACTGAGCAAAGCACAACGGGAGCTGGCAGCCTCACGGGCACCGAGGTCCTCCTGGGCCCTGAGGATTTTCCTTTTTCCCTCTGCAGTTCTGCAGTCTGAGTGCCCAGCAGGCCTATTTGGTCACCAGCTCTGAGCTAAGGTGGATGTCTGTGAGCTCACAGGGCTAGAGGGAAGGCACCGAGTCGTGGATCACCACCAGCCACCTGCAGTGACAGGGCAGGGTGGGGAACAGATGAAAAGAGCCGAGGGTAGACCCTGAAGAGGGTTTTCAACAGGAAGCAGTCCGGGCCAATGACATCAACCAACAGACAGCTTGGTTGAGCCCGGGACTCTAGCACAGAGCTTTCTGAAGGCCCCTCCCTCTGCAGGCCTTTTCTTGAGCAAAGCCCCTAACAGCCAGGGCTCCCCAGTGCCCAGCTGAGTTTATTCCAACATCATTTCCTCTGTTGTATTTTGTAGAACATTTTCTCCTCAACAGGAAACAAATTCCTAGAATTTCTGTTCCATTTTAGAAGCAAGGAGATCATCATTAGCAGCACGCTGACAGTGCACAAATCGGCTGTAACATCTTCACTGGACCTCAGGACACCTTGTGTAGGCTGTTTCTGTAAGCAGACAGCCCACTGCCAAGGTGCTTTCTTTGACTCCCAAAAGGGAGTCCACCCCTTGTAGATCTTTCCTAAAGAAATGCTTTCCAAGGAAACCAGAAAAGGAGGGTATGGACATAGCGACTCTTGCTGTCCTGATAGAGGTGGGAATCCGGTGTGGCTTTGCTTTCATCCAGAGCCATTTTACCAGGCTCTGCATAGCCTCTCAGCTTTGGGGGGTACTGACAGAATCCAAGGGTGCTACCTCACCTCGCCTGCAAGGTGGCGGGCACATTGCAACTCGGCACACACTGCCTTCTGAAATGAGGAAAGTGTTGGCAGAAGAGCCACCGAATGGCAACGGACACAGGTGCTCATTTAAACCCCTACCCGGTGGTCCAAGGCTGCAGTTCTAGCTTCCTGGAAGGTTGAGGTAGGAAAATCGCAGGTTCAAGACCAGCCTGGCTGACAGAGAGTTCAAGGCCAGTCTAGGCAACTAAGTGAGATCTCAAAACAGAAAACAAAAGGAGGGCTAGGAATAGAACCCTGTGGCAGAAAAGTTGCCTAACAGGCCCAAGGCCCTACTACAGAAAACACAAAACAAAACAAACAAAACCTTCTTTAAAATTTTGATTATCAGGAGAGGCAAGTGGATCTCTGAGTTAGAAGCCAGCCCGATCTACATATCAAGTTCCAGGCCAGCATGTCCACATAAGGAGACCCTGTCTCAGAAAATAGTAAAATAAAATGGAATCATCTCAGAATCAAGTTCCTGTAATCCCCAAATAGTTAAAAAAAAAAAAAATGGTTTTGGTGCTATGCCCAACCTGGAAACTATGAAGAGCTACATCCAGCCCACGGCTGGGTCTCAAAACATTTACCTACAGGGAGGAATCAGGATTTGGATGATTCACTAACTCTCCCATCACCTTTCCTACACACACACACACACACACACACACACACACACACACACATCTAAACAAAGTGCAAAGGCAGACCCCTTCCCACCTTGCCCGCGTGTGAACCCCTGTGAGGACAGGGTATGAGAGCCCTGTGTGTAGAACAGCAGGTGGGATAGGGCACCACCACAGGGCCTGAGCTGAGCTGACCCCTGTGCTGGTGCTGGGAGGGGACCCACAGGCTCTGAGTGACTAATGGCAGGACTCTGGACTCTGGCCTGTGCTGAAATTCAAATGTAATAAATATTGAGGGCTGATGATCCACGCAGAGAATCCGTGAGATACCCGTGAGCACGTGCCTGGGTGGTTCTGCTCAATGAAGACAGTCTCCCATGACTTCAGTGGACCTGGGACCTGGGTTGAGGCCATTAGCCTCTGCTGACCAGCAATGCTGGCAGCCCTAGGCTCTCTACGAATCTCAATGCCCTGGCAAGCCTGGACTCCATACTGTGATGTCTGGGATTCCCGACACACTTTTCCGTCATGCCCGGGATGGGTCCACAGGTATGGGTCCCTCAGACTGTAAACAGCGTTGGTGGCCCCAGGACACTGAGACCCGGTGCCCTGGCAGCATCCTGCATGGCTGAGTCTTTGTGCTCGCACAAAGAAACCCCACTGAACCAGGACACGGGTGTGCAAGGGCTGCACTCCCTGCCTGAGAGTCTGGGAGGTAGACAAGGCTACACCGATGGCTGCTCCTTCACCGGGGTCCCAGCTTCACTATTGAGGCTTCCGGGTGCTGGGCCCTGTATGCTGCAGCAGGAACCAGGAAGGCAGCACCGGTGAGAACGATGAGGGAAGCCAACCACTCAAGTCCTGGGCAATTCTGGGGTCTGCCTGGATTCCTGAGAGCCTCCTGTCTTATGAGGAGGAGGAGCCCCAGGAGGGGTCTGGGTGGAGGGCTGAGGATAGCAGCGGCAGCAGCAGAGGGAGAAGAGCCTGGTGCGGACTGCCCGGGTGCAGAGGACGAACATGATGCAGTTGGCCCCTCCCTGGAAGGTGTTCCCAATGCCCTGTTGGGGGTGGGGAAGAGGCATAAGCACGGGCGATGGCTAGAAACACAGCCACGGGCATTCAGTGGACTGCCGTGAATCCCACGACCTCTCCTGCCCCTGCCCTCAAGCTGTCTGAGCTCGGGATGAGCTCAGACATGTGGCCTTAAGCAGAGTTCTGGACAGGTCTGAACGGACCACCCAGCCCGGACCTATATTTAAGCCTTCTGCAGTGAGAAGGACACAGGATCAGTCAACTCTGCCAGAGCTTCTCTAGGTTGCTGAGAACGAGTGGACGCTCTAAGCCACGCCTGCTTGGGATGGGGAGAGAACAGTGAGCACCCCGCCTCCCACACGCCCACCCTGGCTAACACACTGGGACCCGAGATGCGCTGTAGGAAAGCGATCTGGCCATGCCCCTGCAGGGCCCACGGGGACAGACGTACATGCAGAACGACCAGCACGGGTGCCTGCACGGCTGGGGAGCCACAGAGCGTCAGGACGAAGCGCACGGTGCTCCAGACCCGGAGGCAGATGAATATGAGTGGGATGAGGATCAGCTTCTTATCGGCCATGGAGGTGGAGGAGCCTCGCTGCAGCTGGCGCCCCTCACAGATGGGCCGGTACTCAGAGAGTGCCTGGTGCTGTGTGGAGGACCGGGAGCAAAGGCGTGAGCTCGATGGGCCTCTTACCACAACCGCCATGCATGTCCACATGCCCACACCAGCTGGGGAAGGCAAGAGCAGGCTCTGCTGCCTCTTCCACTTGGACACTGAGGAGGCCTGGAGCCTGTCAGACTGGGAGGGTTTTCTCCAGTCTCCACCTCCCAGGCCACATGCCCTGCCTACTCCACATCTCTACAGGACTGTCTAGGGGCACAGCTTTCCTCAGCCCTCAGGCCCCACAGCACGGGTCACCTCAGCTGAATGACACGTCATCCTTCCTGTCACCCATGTGACGTGGGCATCATCTTTCAGTCCTTTCTTCCCCCGAGTGCCCCACCTTCAAAACAGACCCCAAGTCTGGACACTTTGACCCACTAACAGAAGGTCTGAGGCAGGCTTGGCCAGCCCTCTACTCAAAGCTCTTGGCAGCTCCATTTCAACCCTTCCTTCCAATATCCCGTCAGGGAGAGAGAGCCCCGGCTCAGGTCTGACCTCAGTCCCATTCTCTCCCAGCCACATCACTCTCTTCCGACCCCATGTCTTAGCCAGTCCTTGGGAAAGCGTCCCTGACAGTTCCCGCCTTTGAAAACTTCAGTAGTTGGGAGACAGAGGCAGGAGGATCCGACGTTTAAGTTGTCCTCAGCCGCACAGTCCAGTGCAGTCCAAGCTACATCACAGCCTGGCTCTGGGGCTAAGGGATACCGCACATTTGCTAGTGCCTCACCTAACATGTACGAAGCCCTGGGTTCAAGCCCCAGCACTGCAGAAACTGGTAGGCTGGTGCATGCCTGTAATCCTAGCACTTGGGAGGTGGAAGCAGCAGGATCAGAAGTTCAAGGCCATCCTTGACTGTATGGTGACTGCATGCTACCCCATCTCAACAAAACAAGACCCTGTCTCAAAAAAAAAATAGTACATAAATACATGAAGGAAATGGGGTTGTCGCCGGCTGGAGTCTGACTGAATTCAGGGTGCCTTTTTTGGAAGCAGTGACTGCTTCAGCCACTGCTCGGTTCATCTGCTTACCGGCTTCCGCCTCTCTGAGGACCAGCCTCCCTCTCTGGACAGCCCTACTGACCTATGACCTCCACATTTCTGAGCACTGAGTTATTTGAGGCCACCTCTATTTGGCAGCATCCCTGACTGTCATCTAAACTCCTTAGTGTAATATCAGAGATGGCCACACGGGGGCAATACAGGACTGCGTGCAGAATGCTGCTCTAGGGTCCTGCTTCTTTACCCCTCTGAGGCTGCTCAGCTTCTAAATCTCACCTACACGGGGTCTGACTTAGCTAACAGGTCTATCCATGTCATAACACTCAGCCCATGCACACAGTCCCTTATGGCCCAGCACGGGGTCCCTCAGACATACAGCCTGTCCCCTCAGGGCCAGCCAGCACAGTGGCACCTACCGCCCTGTTGATGTGCTTCCTGACCAGAAGGTACAGCAGAGGCAGCAGGACATAAGCCAGCATCTCCCACAGCTTCCCAGTCAGCAGCATCCACAGGACGCGGTCCTCAGCCTCCAGGTTGATCCAGCACCAGCCCACGGACACATCAGAGGCATCGTAGCCTATCTTCTTTAGAGAGACCGCTGCCACTGTGATGGCCAGTGGGACACCCCAGCTGAAAGAGAATGAGAAAAGGAGAGGTTAGTCCATAGCCTGCTGCAATGTCAGCATGGGCAAAAATGACCTCTCTGAAGAGGACAGTGCTCCCCGGACCAGCATCAGCGCTCCTGTAGAACAAGGGAGGCAGGAAGGACACAGGGCAGCCTGCTCTAATTTAGAATGCCAGGACTTTGGGGATGTGGCTTGGTCAGGAGGACAGTGGGCTAGTGTGAAGGAAGCTCGTGTGAATGGCTTCCTCTCTAAGCACCACAGAAACTGGGCACGGTGGTATTGGCCCATAGTCTCAGCACTTGGGAGGTGGAGGCAGACAGATCACTGTGAGTTCCAGGCCAGCCTGGACTACACAGTGAAATGCTAGCTTGGGCTACAGAATGAGACTCTCAAAACAACCTCCTGAATGATGCAGCTCAGTGGTCAAGATCACTCACTAGCTGCTCCTCCAGGAAACCCAGGTTTGATTCCAAGCACGGTAACTCACAACCTTCTGGGGTCAAGGGGATTTATTTGCCTACCCAAAGCCTACAATCTACCATCCAGACCCTGGATTCCACCAGCCCCAGACTCCCCAGGCTGCCAGGAGACTGACGGGGGTTGAAGAGTTTAAGCCTAGACACAAATCTGGTATTTGTAGACTGGTACAAACTGCTAACTCCAGTTTCAGGGGATCCAGTGCCTTCTTCTGGCACACACACAGTGGAAAGACATACATGCTGGCAAAACAGTCCTGTTGAAAACTATAATAACCTAAAAATAAAAACCCAGTGCTTCTCAGAGGAGGGTGTGGCTAGAACGATCTAGCTTGTACATGCCCAGCACCTGTCCCTGCCCCCAGAGGGGTGCGGGCGCCAGTCTGCAGACATCAGCATGCGTGTCTAGGCTTAAACACTCCCGTCAGCCCCCTGGCAACCTGGGGGAGCCTGAGGTTGCAGGAGTCTGGAATCATAGGCTCTGGGCAAATCCCTCGTTCTTGAGGTCTCCTTTCTTATATGGCAAGGGCCAAAGGGACACCCTAGAGCACCCGGCACACCAAGGAGGGCACTGACCCCACAGCAACACAACTGGAATGGGGCCCAAGTCCCAAGTCCCCTTTCCAATAACCCCTGCCCCGTCTCCTTCCAAAAGGGCTTATCAGAGGGATGCCTTTTACGGAGACGACACATGGGTTGAGAGTTCTGACTCGGATGTAATGGGTTGAGTCCAAATTATTACTCTGCTTGCACGCCAGCGTTCTCACAGGGTGGGGTGATGACGGCACCATCTGCGGAAACCCAGGTGGGCACCCACACAGCTCATACAGGCCCAGGCAGCCACACGCGAGCTGCCGGCCATCAAGACTGTGATTAGAGCCAAGGCGTGCCTGCAATCGCAGCGCTTGTAAAGCAGGCACTCTGGAGGCCAGCCCGGGCGACGTGCGGACACCTCCTCTTGCTGTAATGTTTCAGTCCCCATCAGAAGAACGCAGACGGAAATCTATAGTATATGTCACACAGGCCACTGAAGGACGTGAAAACACAGCTCTGGCTGAAATCCCTTGGGTGGGCACATAAGCAATGTGCAGCCCTTTTCCTAAGGTCCCAAACTCAGAGCCGATCCCGCCAGAGTTCACTATGGGGAACCAGTGAAGAGGCAGAAGGACAGACTGAGTCCCACCGCTGTCCTCTGATGGCCACACGGCACGCCCGCGCCTGCCCCTCACAAATAAATAAATGTAACTTAAAAACACACACATCCTTACATCGATCAAGTACTCCCACGGCCAAGCCCCTGCAGCCGATGGGCTCTCCAGGGACGCTGCTGCTGGGCCTGCTCTCCTCAGCCTGCCGTGATCAGGAACTGAGAGGATCCCATCACACACAGCAGCCTCATAACTTTCACTTTCTTTAGCATCTAAGATGAAAATGAAAGGCAGGCCCAGTGCAACCCCAACACTGGGGAGGCTGAAGCAGGGGGACTGCCAGGAGTCTAAAGCCAATCTGAGCTACATAGTGAGACCCTGCCTGAAGAAACTGAAAACAAGACACAGCCCAGAAGTGACTAAGGGGCCTCTTTGTGCAGGCACCAGTGTTCCCGGGCTGCATGACTGCCTCCTCACCCCACCTCCTCCCCCACCCCCGAATACTCAGCTTCCTGTCTGCCCCCACACGACACCATCTCTGCCTCAATTCGGGGCTAATAACACTAAACTTTATGTTTCAAAGATTAATTTATTTCAAGGATACAGGCATTTTGCCTTCATGTATGTATGCACACCTCATGGAGGCCAGAAGAGAGTGTCAGATCCCCCAGAACTGGGGTTCAGGCAGCTGTAGGCTCCCATGTGGGTGCCAGGCACCAAACCCAGGCCCCTCTGCAAGAGCAGCAGAGCCGTCTCCTCAGGCTGCGGCCGCCCCACCGTTCTGCTTTGTTAAGTTGCCTCCATCACTTCAATTTGTTGAGACAGGGTGTCATGTATTAGCCTGGCCAAGGCCTCTCCTCTCCAGACCTCTGATTCTGATGCAGAAGGACTCAAAGGGTCTGTCTAGCTGGAAGAAGCCAAGCACCCCGCACCCCAAGCAGATCTCTCACGTGGAGTGGTACCAAGAGGGCCCCCCAGGAGTGCCTGCGCCCCGGTTTGTGTTTGTCAGGCTCTGTACGGGCTTCCCCTCTACTGAGGCAGCTAAGGACTGAGCTGTGCCCCAACTCTCAGAACCTGAGACTGTGTGTGGAGACAAGGACCTTCAAGAGTTAACTACATTCAAACTTCCAAGAGCGCTGCCTCCTGGAGGAACAGATTTGACTATGACAAGCCCCCCCCCCCCCCCGAGGGCAACCTGTGAGGATTCAGGGAGATAACCCCATCTATGAGCCAAGGAGAGAGGACCCAAGAGGAACCTCCTCACCCACACCCTGAACTCCCAGCTCCAGAGGGAAGAACTTTCAGAGGGAAGAAACTAAGCTGCCCAGGGCTGTCGGTTGTTGGGCTTCCTTAGAGACCAGGGGTGAGGGGTGGGTGTTCCCTCTCTCAAAGGCTGCTCCTACCAAGTCTTTCCCATGGGGAATGAGGACTTCCCCATGGCCACCTAGACGGAGCCCCCAGTCTTCCTGGGTCTATATGCTCTAGCCCCGCCCCAAGGCCATGTGCAAGTTGAGGCAGAGGTGCATACAACATTTGGCAGGAGATGGCTGACACTCAGGTGAGGGTCCTGTGACTTCAGCACCTCCTCGTGAGGGAATGTGAACTGGCAACAGGTCCAACTGGGATAGGTAACCCTCTGTAAGCAGGCTCGGAGGACAGTCCTCGATGTGCCAATGTGCTGCTGTCCTCGGGAACCAGGCTCCTGCAGCACCCCAGCTCTGCCCACCTGGGGAACCGCTGTTACAGAGTGGGGACACCCCTCCTCCGCCTCACAGAGTTCAGTGGGAAAGCTGCCCACTGCTTCCCAAAGAGCCTCCAAAGCCCTGCTCAGGCCCCAGCCCATCCCCCAAGGGCCCAGGTTGAAAGTGGCTCCATGCATCATCTGTGCAGTAAGCTACTCCCAGGACTGGACTCCTGTATTTCTCAGTTCCTCCTGGTCTTTGGAGGCTGGCAACTGCTGGATAGAAAACAAATAGAGAAAACCCCCTCTATTTGTCAAATGTCGAATTCTGGTTTAAGGGCCCTGTGGCTATGGAAAGCCTTACTTGTTAACAGAATTGGGGGTGTGGACAGAGGAAAGCTCTTGTGGAGAAAAGCTGTGGGAGGGGCCAGAGGGAAGCCCAGCGGAACAGAGCCAGGCTGCAAAGAGGTGGCTCCCCCAGGGACAATGGCTTCCTATTGTCCCTCTCATGGGGCAGAGCTAGGACGTGGGAGAGGTTCAGGGGGTTAGTCTCTGAAGGAAGGCCACCATGAGGTCATTCTGTGGCTTCAGCTGTGAGAGGGGGAGGTGTTTGTCCTGTACACACACCTGGTGACACCGTGTAGTCCCTAGCAGACACGTGGGTCCTGGCCACATTGGCCTGGACAGACATAAACAGTCTGACTCTACTCGTGGAGAGATCAAGGGTAGCCTCCGATGCTGCCCCTGGGGCCCTTGTCCTGGGTTCCCCACTACCAAGATTTTTATGTATTATCTTGGGTAGAACAAACAAAAACCAGCTCCAATTTGGGGGGTACCGACGCCCTGGAGTACTGTTCAAGAGGCCGCCTCTTCATTTAGAGCAGAGGCCGCCCCTGAAGAGGAGATCACAGATACCTTACTTCCTATCCAGTACCTTCTTCCCAGGGCAGCCAAACCCTAGCATGCGGAGCCCAAGGTAGGGTGGGGACACAGGATTAGCTCCCTGAGTCATACCCTCTCTAGCACTTTTCACGAAATGGCTAACCGCAGACGCTCCCTCTCAGCATGGAGACCTCCCCACTCTGAAGTCTAAAGAGTAAGGAATTTCCTTTGTTCTGTGGATTGCTATTGGACCTCCTATCTCAGCCTGTCTCTGCCCTCTGGCCCCTGCTGTGAATGGCTTGTGGTGCTAAAGGACGTTTTGCCTGCAATCCACCTCCGAATCTCTGTACCAAATCTGGAAAGAATCTTTCATGTTTCAAATACTTAGGAATGAGCAGGACATGTGGGATGTGACTTAAATCCTAGCACTTCCTAGGCAAGAAGCAGACAGGTCTCTGAGTTCAAGGCCAGCTTGGTCTATTTACTACGCCTCAGGCCGGCCAAGACTACATAGTAAGACCTGTCTCAAAAAAAAAGAAAGAGTGGAGATCAAACATCATTTTGTGGAGCCTACCCCTCCCTTGTCTGCACTATAAAAGCCCCCAGTCTACAGACCCCTATAGCAGCAACTCAATAAGAGGTGGGCATGGAACCTGGGAGGAAAGGGAGAGAAGTCTGACCTTAATTCAAAGCCAGTCTACTGGGCAACACAGTAGCCAGCCTGGGCTACAGTGTGAGACTTTATCTAAGACAAATGCCAACCTGGACATGGAGGACCCCTCCTTAACCCTTGCACTTGGGAAGTAGGGCAGGAGGATCAAGACTTTGACAGCACACAGGGCTACATGGCAAGTCTGAGGCCAGGCTGACTGAGACCCTATCTCAGAAAACACAAAAACATCTCTCTCTCTCTCGTCTTAGAGAGAATACTGGGACACAGCAAACAGAACCCCTGAAATCCAGCTCTGCCCTTGAGTTAATGGCAATCCCCCTGCTTCAGCGTCCTAAGTGCTGGGATTACAGGCATATACTAATATGTTTGGCTGGACCCTACCTTTGTTCCCCTTTTCACTATGTTGGGACTTCCCACTCTCCACAGAGCACAGAGTTTATGATCACCTTGGGGCCCAAGACCCTTCTCCATAACCCGAGAGAGGTAGGTGAGAGAGGGCAAAACGACCATAGTCACACTCACTCTCGATCCAGTTCACACTGCTGGAGGCCAGCTCAGTCAGGAGCCTCACCTCTGACCCTTGGAGATAACAGTCCACATCCTACCCATCCACAGGACTCTAGGAGTGATCTGGCAGAATGGGGTGGGGTTGGAGGGGCTAGCTGTAGACTCTAGAGCCCTTGCCACAGAGAGGGTGGAGATAGTGGCATCATCATTATCTTAGTTACCATAAAGGAAGAATGGGAAATGACCCAGCCCCCGCCTCAGGTGGGCACTGCAAACCAATGACCACAGAGCACCTTCCCAGGGATGAAGAAACAGGGGGTGCAGAGATGGCTCAGCTAAGAGCACTGGCTGCTCCAACAGAAGGCCAGGGCTCAATACCCAGCTCCCACATCGTAGCTCACAGCCAGCTGTAACTGCAGTCCCAGGGGACCCAATACCCTCTTCTGGTCTCCTTAGACACTGCACACATGTGATACAGACATACATGCAGGCAAAACATCCATACAGAGGAGAGAGAGAGCAATAACTACACCAAGCCTGCCCAATGTCACTTTGCCATGTCAACTCCAAAGCAGTTCTGAAACCCACCGAAGTGCAGAACTAAAAAGCCCTGTGCGGAAGCGTCCGACAAACAACCCAAACCAAGGGCCAGGCTATAGACCACCGCGCTGCACTGTTCACAAGGCCACTGCCACCGTCCAGCGTGGTGCCACAGGTCTGCAACCTCAGCTCACAAACCCTCAGCTGAGGCAAAGGGCTTGCCCCGAGTCTGAAGCTAGCCTGGGCTACATGTGGAAATCCAGACCAGCCTGGACTACAGACTAAAACCGTGTCTGAATGAAATATAACTAGGAGCTGAGGATACAGCCCCGTCGATGGAGTGCTCGCCTGGGTTTGATCCTGATCCTTAGCAGAGCATACAACCAGTTAGCGGCACACACAGCTGAAGCCACAGTGCGGTGGGGGCGGGAGGATCAGACTCAGAAACAAAAATAAAAGGAAGTGAACAAAACAGTCAATGCTGGGCTAGCAAAATGCCACAGGGTTAGAAGTGCCTGCCGTCCAAGCCTGGGGATTCAAGCGCTTGAATCCACGTCAAGGTGGGGGGAGGGAACCGACGCCACAAAGCTGTCTGCTGACGCCACACACAGGTGCCACGACACACGTGCTCCTCAGCAATAATTAGTAAAAATAAAATCTAAACTCAGTGTTATAAACTAAGACTAATGGGGAAAGGGAAGAATTGAGGGGGAATTAAAAGACATGAAAGACCCACAAGCCAGACTTTAAAAAGACCCACAAGCCAGACTTTCCCTTAGAGACACTGTGAGAGTCGGCAGAGACAGAGGTTCACCAAAGGCCAGCGCCCCCCCCCCCCCCCACACACACAAGCATTTAGAGATGAAGAGGCATTGCGTCTGTTCAGGAAAAATAACAGGAGAAGATAAAGGACTAACATTTGGGAAATCTGCAAAGCTAGAAATAAGTTTTGTTCAAGTTACTGTCATTCCAGCCAAGTAGAACCACATTTGGTACCTCTGGTGTGGTCACAATGAGTGTCTACCCCTGAGCCTTCCACTTCCTAGCAGTGGTCTCGGGCCGTCCATCTTCTGTGTATGGTGAGTGACTGCCCGGTCCACCTGGTTGGGCCACTGGTGATCAATGAGCTAATAAAGGGGCAGCAAATTTACAAAAACTTCAGGAGCCCGATGTCCTCCAATGAGAGAGAAAGGTCACTGAGTATAGGACTGTGATATTAAGAGAAAGGTTCCAGGGCCACATGGTTGCTTCCCTGGGGGAGAGAGAGAGAGAGCGCGAGAGCACGCAGGTATGCACACACGGAGTCTCTGGAATGCTTGTGTCATACCTGTAATTGGTTTTAGAGATGGGATTTCTCGAGGCTGGGAGTGTAGCTCTAGCTTCAATCCCCAGCACTTCCAGAAAACAAGCAAGAAAGATTTCCTTTTCGTGTCACATTCTATTATGACATGTTGGAGGGGAAGTTAAGGAGTCTCTTAACTTACTGTTCCCATATTGTTGGGCAGTGAAATTAGCTCTAATTCTCATCATGGCAGCAGCACCTCAGCAGGTCCTGAGTACCTACAGCTTTGTGTGAACTTTGTAGCATCTTCTTACACAAGGCTCTGGGCAATAGGATTAAGAGATCGAGAGGCATGAACCAAGCACTTCCTACAAGGATTACGGCAGCTTACAAAACCAATAAAGCAGGACATTTCAGCGTCCCCAGCTTTTCCATGTTAGTGTTCTCACGATTTTTCTTCTAATTTAATGAGAAAATGCTACTCCATTATTCTGTCAATACCTAGTAACTTTGGGGGTGGGCGGGGTGGAGGAGACAGGGTCCCATGGAGCTGGCCTTGAAGTTTACATGAAGCTAAAGCTGATTTTGAACTCCTGATTCTCTTGCCTCTACCTCCCCTGGGATTACAGGGACGTACCATCAGGATATCCACCATTTGTGCTGTTGATGGTTTTAGGTGTTTGTGGGCTCTTTTGTTGTTTTTGTTTTGTTAGTTTGTTTGTTTTGGTTTCTCTGTGTAACAGAACCCAGGCTGTCCTAGAACTCACTCTGTAGATCAGGCTGGCCTGGAACTCACAGAGATCCACCAGCCTCTGCCTCCCCTCTGGAGGGCTGGGACTAAAGGCCTGCACCACCACATCCGGCTGTGCTGTGGATTTTTAAAAATCCTTTCCAAGGCTGTAAAGTTTAAAGAGGCTTGATTTTTAGTAGTCTGAAAAGAGATAATCAATGGGTGTGGTAGCACACGCCTTTAATCTGAGCACCCATGGGAGGCAGAGGCAGGAAGTTCCAGGCCAGCCAGGGCTGACAGGGAGACCTTGTCTAATATATAAACACATAGTGGGTAATCAGGTAGGCTGTGTCCAGAGATGAGATTTCTTACAGGAACAAATCTTTCAGCAACAATAACCTAATATTCCAAGGCGATAGAGTGAGGGCCCTTAGCAGCCAGCGTAGGAGGATCTGGGTCATAAACGAACCGGTCGGGCAGGTTTCAGTAAGTCCTTTGAACACAGCCTTACCTAGAAAGACTTGTCCGAGCATCACAGAGAACCGTCATGGAGGATCTCTGATGAACTCAGATGGGCTAGGGAGTTCATCTTCAGTAGGGGCTACACAGAAGGCTCCGTTTCTTCACTTAAAAATGTACTTTATTCATTAGTTTTTAAGGAAGTGCAGCAAAGAGGAGAGGTTCAGCCTTGGGCTCCTTTTCACACCGGTGTTCACACTCCAGCCCTGCCAAGGAAGACTTCTGTTCTCTGACAGGGCTGGAGTGTGATGCAGGTTGGAGGAGAGAGAAGCCATAGCCCTCTTTTCAGCAGGTCCCTGCACTGTGAGTGCCATGGCACAAAGACTTCACCGACCAGAAGAGAAGTGTGTTCTTTCATTTCTTTGGGACCAGCCACAAGAATGGCTTTCAACAACTACAAGAACAGGAGGTCAAGTGACTCTTCCCAGCCTGTTGCCTCGGCGTGTGACACCCAGGTGACTCGTCTCTACCAAAGTGCTGACTATCCTCTTAGCCCTTGGAAAGCACTCAAGTTTTTAATAGACAGGACCTATAATTAGGGTAGACTCGGGTGCCTTGAGCTGAGGCAAGGAAACAGGAAACAGCCTTAGGATTCCTGCCTTGAGCTGTGCACAGACCCTGAAAAGACATGAGTGAGGCTGGCCTCTGGGTGCAGCTTTCTTGCTGACAACTTGAAAGCAGGGCAGGACAGGGCCTTGCGTTTTCCCACTGTCAGAGACTGCAGGTAGCTGACTGCCCTGATCCTGACCGGCCCTTTGCCACTGAGATCCGTTTTAAAAATCCTGAATTCTAGCCAGTCAAGACCACCAGAGGACCTGGGTTCAATTCCCAGCACCCACATGATGGTTCACAACCATCTGCAACTCCAGTTCTGGGGGATGTGATGTCCTCTTTTGACCTTAGAAGGTGCCAAGTACACACACATGTGATACACATACATACATACATGCAGTCATGTATGTGATAGGGGCCTCAGGTCTACAGAAGCATACCTTTGTGTACTTCATAGTTGAGACAACTGTGGCCTGGGTGGTGGGATGCAAATTGAAAGTTGTGGGCTCTTCGCCAGGGCAGCCCCCTTAACTGATCTGCAGACTGGAGCTTATCTCCATGGGGAGCAGAGACTGCCAGATCACGGTGAAGCAGGAGGCTAAAGGCACAGGGTGTCCCAGCTCCTTTCTAAATGGTGGGGCTCTCTCTCCACTGAGCAAGCTCCGCACCTAACCCCCACCTTGCTGGAAGGTTCTGGCTGAGACAGACAACAGAGACCAGAGATGCGCAGACAGGTTTGGCTCCAATGTCTTCATCCTTCCGTGGTTCAGGGATGCCTGGGGGTATGGCTGCCAGCATACCACTATGCCATCTATATGGGGGACGCAAGAGTGCCACAGTGCAGCAGGCAAGACTAGGGACCCATAAGCCTAGATCTGGGGCCTGGAGGCAGAGCAGCGTCTCCTACTCACCTGATGAGGTGAAAAGCCCAGACTAGGTGGTCCGTGCTGGGCCCGAGCGCAGCTCGGACGATGCTGAGGTACAGGTAGAAGGCGATGGCCACCGTCCAGAAGAAGGAGCTGGTGTTGGCGAAAGTAGAGAGCGCGCCCTGAAGGACGCAATCCCACGAAGTGCCCGTGAAGTCCTGCAGCACTCCGTAGAAGTACGAGGCAGCCGAGAGCAGGTCCGCTAGCGACAGGAAGAGTAGCAGGCGCCGCGCCCGGCTACGCAGGTCAGGCCACAGGGCGTGCGTGGCCACCAGGAGGCCCGAGCCCAGCGCTGACAGCGCGCACGACAGCAGGACCACCGCGCGCTCCCACGGCAGCAGCTCGGTGGGAGGCGCGGGTGAGGGCATGGCCGGCTGGGGACCAAGGGCAGGAGGCCAGGGTGCACAGGTCCAAGAGTGCCGAGAGGTCGCGGCCAAGCCGAGCCCGCGGTCGTCGCCCCAGTCTAGGCATCTGGGCGCCCGGGGCTCGCGTCCCCGCGGGTAACCGCCAGCGTCCAGCCCCGCCCAGCCTATCGACTATGCAACGGGCCGCCTCGCCCGGCGCCCTCCACGCCCTGCCCCTGAGCTCTCTAATTCCAGGCTGCGCCCTCCACCTCCGTCCGGTGAGCTCCCTGGCCCCCGCCCCTGAGCTCTGCACGCCCCGCCCCTGAGCTCTACAGGCTCCGTAGCCCGGTGTCCGACCCCGGCGCCCCGCCTCGGCGGGCTCCTCTCTCCTCGCCCACAATCCAGCCCACTCACGCCCCTTCCCCCCTCTCCGGAGCACGCCACGCCCCGTCTCTGCAGCCCGGCGCGCTCTCCTCGCGCTCCGCCCCTGCGCCCCGCCACCGCGCGCGGAAACGCCCGGCTCTGGGCTCCAGCGCTCCGCCCCTTAGTTCTTCACGTCCAGTCCTGAAGCTCCCGGGCCCCGCCCAGCCCCTTCCGAGCTCCGCCCACGGTCCCCACTCGTGCACGGCTCCGCCCCGGTGCTCGCGCAGCACCGCGCTCACGTGCCTCCCCACGCCCCGGTGGGTGCTCCTAGCCGGTAGCTCCAGCCCTGTCCGAGTCGTTGCCTTCCGCCTCCCAGAGCTACCCTATGAGGTTAGTGAACGACTAGGACGTCCCGTCCTGGCCGGGACGGGACATTCTTAAGGCTAGTGTTACTTTCCTCCTGGTCAGCTGCTTACCTGTGTGTTGGGGCGGGGAGGGGCAGTTGTTGGAGACATTCCTTCCGATGGTGGCAAAGACAGGTCCGGAGCATGACCTACGAAAGGTCTGAGGTGGTGATTTGGGGACGTTTCTAACTTCTGTGATAATGGACGTTTGTTTTCGTGGAGCTGAGAGAGGAAATCAAGAGTCTCACATAGCTCAGTAAAGTGTTCGCCTACTGAACCATATATATATATATATATTACTAATTTATTATATATATATATATATATATGTATGTATACTTACTAATTTATTATATAATAAATTAGTAAGTATACATACATACATTATATCTACATTATGTAATATATTATGTAATATATGTAATATAATGTAGATATAATGTATGTATGTACACTTACTAATTTATTCTTCATAGCTATTGGGTGCGATTTTTAAAGTACATGTTATTATTTTACGTGCCTGGACGGCCTGCACGAAGTGCGCGCACTGCCCACAGAGGCCAGAAGAGAGCGTCAGACCCCGTGTGGGTGCAGGAATCCAATCCAGTCCCCCGGAAGAGCAGCGCTCTTAACCGCTGAGCCATCTTCCCAGTCCCGACGTGCGATTTTAAGGGATGAAATGTCAGTGCCCACGAGACAGTTTTGAGTAATGGCCCGGGCGGAACAAAGTTGACAATCTGAGTTTGATTCCCAGGACCCACCCACGTGGTGGGAAGAGAGAGTGACTCCCGTGAATTGTCCTCTGACCTCCACGCCTCTGCTTGGCACACTTCTCCCCCCCCCCCCACACACACACATAAAATAAAAAATGTAATTATAACAATGTAAAATGAAAAGAAATAAAATGAGACATTGGTTCTCAATTTACGGAGTCTTCGTCTTGTTTGAGCATTTTGCGGTTTTTAGGCATGGGGATACTTCTGCAGAAGACCCAGCTGCATTTTCTTAATTCGCTATTGACTGGCGCGGGCCCAGCCCATTGTGGGTGGGGTCACCCCTGGGCTGGTGGTCCTGAGTTCTATAAGAAAGCAGGCTGAGGGAAGCAAGCCAGTAAGCAGCACCCTCCGTGCCTCTGCATCAGCTCCTGCCTCCAGGTTTCTGAGAGCCAAGTTCCTTCCTGATTTTCCTCAGTGATGGACTGTTTACCTGGATGTGTAAACTGAAATTAACCCTTTCCTCTCTAACTGGCTTTGGTTATGGTGTTTCATTTCAGAAATAGTAATCCTAAGTAGGACAGAAATTGGTAACAGGATAGTGGGGATTGCTGTGACAGACCTGACCATGTTTGGGGGAGGATTGTGGAAGGACTCTGGAACTTTGGGCTAGAAAAGCCATGGAGTGTTGAGAGCTCAGTGAGCTGCTCTGCAGGAGCTGGAAGATAAGAATGTTGAGGGCAGTGGAGATCTGGCTTGTGAAGCTTCAGAGGGAAGCAAGGACTCTTCTGGGCCATTTCTGTGAAGACCCTGCAGTCCTGGTCAGCTGGGACTGAAGAGTCAGCTGTGGTTAACAGGAATCAGAACTACTAAAGTGAAACCTTCGCCTTAATGGGACAATTGATGCTGGTCAGCTGGAGCTGAGAAATTAGTTGGTAATTTAAGAAGAGACCAGCATCACTAAGATGGAATCTTCTGGGAGGTGTTTCCTCAGGTCAGCACATAGAACCTGTTCAGGAGCTGGTTCAGGCTGTCACTGGAGCCAGCAACCAACCTTGGTAGTGTAAGAGTCACCCAGGTTGTACTGGTTTTGAGGACATGAAGGGGTCATGGAGAGCAGCTGAGGCGTGGCACTGTGAGAGCCTGTGTGCGGCCATCGTTGAAGGCGCAGCCCAGCTTCAGCAGGAGACCCTGCTACTTTGGAGATGCCAGTGCCAAGGGCTGACCACCAAAGACAATGACAGAGGTGGAGTCGAGCCAGCCAGAGCCTAGAGGACAAGCTGGAGAAGTGGCCCAAGCCCTTTGGAGGAGCCCAGAAGATCGTGAGTGAGTCCTGGAACTAAGCCAGGCTGGCCTCGAACTCATACAGATCTACTTGCCTCTGCCTCCCGAGTGCTGGGATTAAAGGTGTGCACCACCACTGCCTGGCTGGAGACTTTTAAGGTGTTTATGTTGGTAAAAGTTGTGGGACTTTTACATTGGTGATATGTTTTATATTTCTGATATTATTAATCTGAGACCTTGAATAAAAAAAGAAAGAAAAGGCTATATCTTAGTAAACAAAGTGTTTGTGTGTCAGATTGACAAGGGGTCAATTGTGCTGACTAATTTTATGTCAAACTGAAAACAGGCTGGAATCATCTTCGGGGGAGGGGGGAGAATCACATGGGCCCGGAGAGTGGTCTCCGACAGTGTCACAGAGAGGATCAATCCAGATGAAGGATGAGCAAGTATTCGTGGAATTACAGATGGGAGATAGGCCAGATGAGAATTGTTAAGACAGATGGCATTGGATGGGGGCTGGGAGGTAGATGGTGAGGTTGTTGAGACAGCGTAGGTGGAATTATTTGCCCAAGGTCTTATAAGGCCATTATAAAATCTAACAGGTGTCTGTGTCTTATTGATTATGATAGCGGGTTAAATAATGCCGCCGTGATAATCATGGGACTAATAATAAACATATTTAGCCAGACACCATTTATTTTCAACAACAGAGAAGGGAACCCCAATTGAAAAAGTGCCTACATAGGACAGGACTATAGGCAAGTCTGTAGAACATTTCAGTAATTACAGATTACTGGGAGAGGGCCCAGCCTATTGTGGGTGGAGCCATATCTGGGCTGTGGCCCTGGTTCTGTAAGCAAGCAGGCTGAGCAAGCCAGGAAGCAGCATTTTCATGGCTCTGCATCAGCTCCTGCCTCCAGGTGTCCTGTCCTGTCTTGCTTGAGTCCCTGTTACCTGAAGTGTAAACTGACATAAACCCTTTCCTCTCAAGTTGCTTTGGTCATGGTTTCATTACAGCAACAGCAACTCTAACTCGGACACTTAGGATTTTGTGTGTATGAAGGTTGTGGGTACATTTGCCTGTGGTGAGGCCAGAGGAGGGTGGTGAACTGCCCTTCCCTACCACACTCCGCCTGATTTCCTCTGGCAGGGTCTCTCCCAGGAGCTGGGCTGGCAGCCAATAAATCTCAGTCTCTGCCCCCTTTGTGAACACAACTGTTTTATGTGTATGTCTGTGTTGACATCAAACTCTCAATCTTTCTGTCTCAATTTCCCAAGGGCTGGAATTACAGATGTGTGCCACCATAGCCAGTTTATATTTTTTTAAACACGAAACTATTTTTTCTTTGCTATATTGGAGACTGAACCTAGAGCCCTGTGCATGCTAGGCAAGTGTCTTGGTGTTTGTTTTTTTGTTTTTTAATGAGACTTGCCAACATTCTTACAGCTGTAGCTATTCATTCTCATCGCCAGTGGCAGCACATTATATACACAATTTACAATGATATCAGTTGGTTTGGGACATTGGGGTTGTTTCCAAGTTTTAGTTGCTTGTAAGAAAGAATGAGTGTGTATTCTTTCATATAGAAAAGTTACTAAAAGCAACTTTTCATAGCGTCAGCAAGCCTATCTCTGGAGCTTGCTTTGCAGAGAGCCCAAGAACAGTTGCTGTTTTTCCCAGCCACTCTGAATTGTTCAAAAGTCCCCTAACATCCCCTTGGAGTTCCCTTTCCAAAGATTAAGCCTGGCTCAGGGTTGTCATTGGATCCCCTTAGCTGCTTCTCTACTGGTGTGAATAGGTTTGCAACCAGCCCTGTGCCTTGGCGGTTGAGAGGGCAGGGGCCTGGGATGTTTCCTATGCTCAGATCACGCTCATTTCACCCCTAGAGTATGCTGGAGTGCAGTGGGACGAGGCGGGGGAGAAGGGAATCAGGAGAGGTCCGACAAAGTAAGATGTCTGTGTTTTCCTGTTGTCCTTTGCTTGAGACAGTCTCCCAATATAGCCCAGGCTGGCCTTGGACTGGTAGCCTTCCCAGGGCTGGGATCACAGGTGTGCCTGGCTTGTCCGATCAGTACTGGCTGCACCTTTCCTGCATTATGGAGCTGCCAGCACCTCCACTGATACCTTGAGGAAGCAGCTGGCCAACAACTTTCCTCCTAGGGAAATCCCTGGAATGTGCATAATTGGCTTTAAGCCTGAAGCCAGATCTCCATGCTTGAGGCTCACTGATGCTCACATCACGGAGGATCCTGGTTCCCAGCTTGCCGGGTGATGCTAAACTGTGCAGAGTAGGCTCTACCCAAGAAAGCCAGAAACTAAGGACCCAGGCCCCTGAGGTTCTGCTTCTCCTATGCAGGGGCCGAACAAGAACAGCAAACCAAGGGAAACCCCAGCTCAGGGCTGCCTCTGCAGTCCCAACCTCAGTGTTCTGGAACCCTGCCTGTGTACTCAGAGGAGGTGACCCTGAGGTGTTTCTCCAAGGGCTGTACTGAGCCAGCTGACAGCTGCTGACTGCTCTGCATG